TCTAATTCTTCTTTAATAAGTTGAAAATAACCAAAACACACTGAAAATAGTATCTCTATGAACACATAATAAATTGAATAAAACAAGTGAGCATGGCAAGGGGTATAAGACAAACAACAAAAATGCCTCAAAACAAGGCTTTATTGAGTCCAAGGGTACCTTAGCATGCTCCAATTCTTCTAAAAGCATAACTCCTGCTCCTTCCCCCATGACAAATCCATCACGAGACTGTTTGATAAGCAGCAAAATTTCACCAGTAAAAGATGCACAGGCAGACCAATGATGCAAAAAAATCTAAACCATGTTTTGAATAACAGACTTCAAAAAGAAAATACAGACAAGCACATAGAACTATTTTGTAAAAACTAGCAAGCATAGATCTAAAAGCCACAAGTTGTTGGGACCTATAAAGTCATATGACATGACAAGAACATGGAAACTTCTATTCTAATATGAAAAAATAGACAAGTTGCTTGCCTTTCAAATGTAGAATTATCATCGGTTTTCCTCCAAATTAGCTTCATTAAACCATTTTTATTTTCACTCTTGCCAATAGAGTTTTGAGATGTTAGAAAAAAAAAAAAAAAAGAGCCTGAAAGCTGAGTTAATTGAAAAAAAAGAGCCAAATCGTAGATCGCCATACGTAGTTAGCTTAAATGAGAAGAACACGAAATCGAACAAAAACAGAGTTAATTGTAAAATTAGTGAGGAAGAGAGAGCTACCTGAGAGAGATCCTGTAATTTTTTTTTTCTTTGCTCTCTTTGGAGAATGTACAAAAAGTTTGTTGCGCACCCCAAAGTCCCTACAATGCCAAGGGAGATGCCAAAGTTGCCTCTGCCATGAAGCCAAGCTCTTCGACGCCGATGATGATGATGATGAAGAACTTGGCTGCCTAGAAGATCCTAGTCCCTACAACGCCAAGGGAGATGCTTTGATCGGCATGATGCATTGGCTTCCTTATGGGTTTGATGAGGTTGTGGTTGGCGGTGTTTCAGAGCCGGAGGCATCTGGAAAGTGTGTTGTGGGGAAGGGTGGCCCTGGGGATGTGGCCGTTGCTAGGGACAAGGTGGTGACTAGAGGTGATGTTGTGGATGCAGACAAGGGCGAGGGGGCGGACTGCCTGGATGGGAACCAAAGCACTTAGGTTTTTGAGTTTTATCAAAATCAATTACAGATTTTGTAGATTTGGGACAGGGGCGAAACACCTAGGTCTACCTGGGGAGGGAAGCTCAAGATTAAGGAGAAAAATTGGGAATTTGTGGAGAGAAGTGAAAATTTCTACTGTCGGCTGAATGGGTCTTTGAGTTTTATCAAAATCAAATACAAATTGTGGAGATTTGGGAGAGGGAAGCTAGGGATTTCGGGAGGGAAGTGAAAATTTCTACTGCCGACTGAATGGGTCTTTGAGTTTTATCAAAAAATCAAATACAAATTGTGGAGATTTGGGAGAGGGAAGCTAGGGATTTCGAGAGGGAGATTTGGGAATACAGGGAGGGAAGTGAAATGATTGTTGCAGTGTGATCGGCTGAAATTAAAAAGCGTTTCAAATACAGTAATCCGTTTGTATAGATATAATATATACAAACGGATAATCAATTAACCGTTTGTATAAACTTATTCTATACAAACGGTTATATTTTTCCGTTGGTATAGACCAATATATACTGACTGCTCTAATTTTCTGTTGGTATACATGGTTTTATACAGACAGATTCTTATCCATTGGTATAAACTTCCGTTGGTAGAAGGCACTTTGTTTGTAGTGTAAACAATACAAAAGGAGTAACTCTTCTTTATTTCCAAATCCCTCGCCATCCAACTCAAGACTTAACCTTAATATCTCCAATTTTGAGTCTTAAACTCTTAACTATTGAGGCATCTCATTAGGATTAATTAATTTATTTGATGATGGATTATACAACAAGATATTATAATTTTCCTTTCTCAAAATCCTCTGCTACTAAAAACCTAACATTTCAATAAATTTAAAGATGGTCAATAAGATTGTCCCCATTAGAGTGAGGGTTAGGTTTTGCTTTTCTCCCTAGGTATATATGAATTCCTGCCTTTGGGATTTCTCTCTTAGAGATTTCTCCCCCTTTTTTTTTTCTTTGATTTTCTATTTTTTTTCCTTTGTTAATTATACCTATCAATCAAGAAAAAAAAAAATAAAAAAAAAAAATAAAAAAACTTCTTGCATATTCCTCGTTTTTCTGGTCGGCGGCAATCCTATCCTTTTGTTGGAGGTGTGAAAGCTCATTCTTTGCCTGGGACTTATCCATGCGCTTGTGCAGTTGTTGCGATGTTCTTGTGTGGAGCAGATTCCTTTGTTTCTTTGGTCAATCGGCCGCCAGCAATTGATGACACAGATAATGAAACACTCAATCCAAAACCTGTCACTGTTTAATAATTCTTTAGGTCAAGTTTTGTTATTAAAATGGATTGGTCTCCACAATAAAAACGTGCATATGCACACTACCTAACAAAGGTACTAAACAAAAAGAATTTTTCATGATTTAGGGATAAAAAAAGTGTAAAAAAAATAAAATCAAATCAAAAGACTATAAATGTTTAAAGTTAAAAATTTAAGTACTAAAATTGATATTTAACCTTAATAAAATCACAAACAAAAAAAATTGAAAAATTTCCTCTATGGTAACTCAAAGTTTTTTTAATTATTTAGTGAATATTCAATTTTAAATCTTATATAAGTAAAAATGTTCTAACAAAATTTATTATAAGTGTATCAAGAATTTTTTATAATATCTATAATACCATTTTATCATGTAATAATTAAAGTATTAAATTCTTATCAATTAATATTAATTAGATAAATTACTATAAATTAAAAAATGACAATTAAAGCACTCGCTCTCTCCATTTTTCTCATTACGTTGTCCATCATTAGAGATGAACATATTTTGTTTATTTCTAAATTGCTTGATATTTAATTTTTTTTTGGTTTGATTAATATAATTAAAAATTTATTTAACAGAAATATTTTACTTTAATTAATGATTAAAGATCAAAATATTTTTTTACTTAAAAAGGTTAACAGAATTTAATTAATTGCATGAACTGTATTAATAAAAAAAATCAAAATTTTAGTAATTAAAATTAAAAATTTAAATTATATTTAATCATTAATTAATTAAAGTAATAAAATAAAAAGAAAGTGAGTTTTGCTTACTATTATTTTTTAAAATTTGATATTTATTTAATTAAACTTAATAAGTATTTAATATTTTAATTATTTGTCAAAAAACTATCTTTTGAATCTTTAAAAAAAACTTAATACACTTATAAAAAATTAAATTAAAATATGTTCACTCATATAAAATTTAAAATTTAATTTTAATTTAATTTAAAAAAATTAAATAAACCCACTTTAAAATAATTTTTTTAAAAGTTGATTTTAAAAACTTTTAAAATATTTTATATAGTTATAACAAATTTTTGTGCGGTCATCGCTCCTATCCCCAAAATCTTCTCCCTCAACTAACATTCTCTCTCCATCATTATCTCACCTTTCCCCTTACCCGTCTTTCACTTTTTCTATCCGTGCTTCTAAAAGTACATAATAAAAATTAATTATTAAATAATTCTTATGGTATTATTTTTTATTTTAAAAAGAGATGTTTATTTTTTTTAATTATAAATATAGTATGTTATTAGCTTATTTTGAATTCAAAATTAAAAGTTTTCACTTTTTTTCTTTAAGAAAATGTTACAATTGGTTGTTAATAATTACTCCTTTTCTTGTAGGCAAAGCCTCCCGCTTTATTCAGTCACGGTAATAACGAGTTAAAATGAGTTAATTACCAAGATATTTAAGTAACTTTTAACAGTTGGATTTATTAACAAATAATTATTATTTTTTATATTTTATTTAGATTTCAAGTATTGAGGTCAGCAATTAAAAAACATCAAATTTTTTAGATACATACCAAGTTAATGTGAGGATTACACACTTTTAAAATTACTTACAAAAAAATTAATTTTCATACATATAAAAATTAATTTAAAAATATATGAACATAAATTTTAAAAAAATAAAAAGGGAAAAGGATATTTAAGTTTAAACTTACCTCGTGTCATCAAACTTGTGCATTACTGGGCTCAAACTCCAATTCGGCTTGTACTCAAGATCATATTCAAGCTCGTTTCCTAAAATTCCAACAGAAGATGTTCGGCAAAAACCCATAGATTACCTTTTAAGTTATAAGTGTGTGGAACTTTTCTCTTCACTTTATAATATGTGATTTTATACATTTTTGATATTCAAGTTTATGATTTTATGTTATTATAATATTTGAGTTTATAATGTTATACTCTCCTAGAGTTGTAAAGTGAGAGTAAAGTTTCACATACTCAAATGTCAGAAGGATATAAAATCATATCAAAAAGATATAAAATCACATATTATAAAGTAAGGGGTAAAATTTCACATACTCAAAAAGTTAAACGGTAACCTGTGGGGTTTTGCCGAAGATGTTCTAACAAACAATCATTCAACTAAAATGATTAAGGGTAAAGGAGGGTAAAACACAACTTACCACACCGAGTAGTAACCTAAGCACACTCGCCTTAGTGATAGGGTTTGGATGGTTTAGAAGAATTACTCTTCTAAGAGCATGTACAACGCATGCTCTATTTACATATTCTTTTTAGAAAAGATAATAAAACTTCAATACATGTATCATTAGAGCATTTTAAAAAGAGAACTAAGCTCTCTATATTCTGCAAAGAGGTCAGCTCTCTTAAATTTTTTTGCTGAAAAGGGTAAAGACAGTGTCATTTTTTTTTTTTTTACAGTGCTTAATATTCGTTGATACAATTATTGACAATCATGTGAAACTGTTGAATTTTGACTCTTTTTTTTTTTTAATGAAAAAATTAACTAAAATTTTTTTGTTTAAATATACAGAATGTGAATTAAATAAAATAATAATAGTATAATTTTTAAAAAATTCTATTTAAATATATGTATTATAGAGTGAGTATTGTATTAGAGGTCATATTTAAATTTTAAATATATAAAAAATATATAAAAAATATAAATTTATATAGAATAATACTAATTATGATAATATAGCACTAAATTGAGCTTTTTTCATTCTTCTCCATCGCGCATGCTCCAATCCAACAAAAGAATCCTCTTTGTTTACGTTCAGTCATTACTACGTCGCCATATTTTAATTTGGTCTTTAATTTTTATTAACTTTTTAAATTCTAATGGGATGCGTGATGTTCAAACAATCTATCACATAAAGACTTTTGATCCTCGCATCTCTAAAAAATCTATCATTTTTGGTGCCAAGTAAAACACATGTGAAAGACGAATCTCAATTTAAAGTTTTAAAAGAAATAAAATAATTAACAGATCCATAAAATGCGCACAATATGCAGGGCCATATACCCCACGGTTTAGGCTCCTCTTCTGACTTAGCATTTTACCATTACTTCATCGGCAACCAACACTATTTTAGTGTTAGTATCTATATATATATATATATATATATATTAAAGCTAAAAAAATTTAAGGTAAGTATGTCATATGTTACCTTTACAAACTTTTTTTGATATACTCTTTTATTGTCACGTGTCAATATTTTTTTTATTTGGTAAAGTTATTATTTTATTTTAGAGTGAATTTCACATAAATTAAAAAGATTAATAATTTAAATGATAAATCAAATTGTATAAAAAAATAAAAGAAATTATACAAAAATCATTTCTCTTATATTATTTTTTTCTCCTTTTATTGATTAATTTCATCCTACCATTTTTGAGCGTGTTTCATTAAATTTAATTTCAGCGCACTCTTCTTTTTCGTTTTTATTTTTTTCTCCCAACTAACTCATCAAACTGTAATTACAATTTTTTTATTTAAAAGATATATTTACTAATTTATGATGATTTTAATTTT